TGGGGGGGGGGGGGGGGGTGATCACCCTTCGTCCGAAGGTTAGCACGGAGCAGGGTCGCACAGGTCATGGAAGAAGCCAGTAGGCCTTCGATCCTGTCTTCGGCCTATGCTTGCAGCAACACTCTTGTTCAATGAGCCTGTCTGGTCGCAGCGTATGCGTGCAGCATTGCAAGGTGCAGCGCTCGTTCTAACTCTGTAGCAAGACTGTAGAAGTGCGTCGTCTCTTCGAGCCAGGCTACTCGTTCTACACGGCAGAGGCGGCAATTGAGAAGTGTGTGACAGTGTCTTTCAGCATCAGCATACAGCCCGTGGCGGCCTTTGTGGGCGGCGTGCAGTTCGAATTGATGCCCAAGCCGCTGGCATCAGTGGACACGACCGTGTGTTGGCCCACAGGGCGGCCTGACGGCCAGGACTTGAGCTTGCTGCGCTTGAAGATCAAGTCCAGCGGCGTGCCGCTCTTGTCCAGGTCCATCCGGCTGACCAAAAGGTACGGTGAGCCCAGCGACTTCACGGAAGACCACGTGCATCAGAGCACCAGCACCTGGAGCCAACCGAGCATTCCCAGAAAGTCCCTTTCCCGCACCAAGACGCAGCTCCTCCAGGAGAAGGCCGCCCAGGCCCAGAACCAGTCCAACGCCCAGGCCCGCCAGGAGCTGCTTCATTTGATGGAAGAGGAGGAGGACCTGTACCTGGCTTCCGCCAACTATTCCCAAGACCTGGGCGTCAACTTGACCTCAGAAGCTGGGTCGTGCTTAGAAAAGCTTGCGCCGTTCCATGGAACTTCGTAGCGTCGTAGTGCATGAATGTGTGAAGCTAAGGCATGCTAAGGCTCAACCGCACTCAGCTAGACTCCTTTGTTTTGTTTGATCCACGTGAAGGAACTGCGTGGAACAGCGGCTGCACGTCGCTTGAGCCTCACTGCTGCCCAGTCCCAGGGAGCCCCACAGCAGCACAGAGCAGCACAGGGGCAGAACTTACTTGTACCTGAGATAAAACCTTGAGCCATGAGCGCGTCGTTGAGGTCTTCCAGCTCTTCAACTTTGAGCACCCTGGAGATTTGATGAGTTTCAAGCTCACGGCCCTATTGAACGGCAACAGCTTGGAGATGGGTGCGCAAATGGGCTTCGGGCCTTCCAAGTCTGCGGAGAAGAGGTTCAAGCTGGTGGACATTGCGAAGCAGTTCGCCGTGGTGCTGCATGCCCTGCCCTTCGTGTCCCAAGCGAGCAGAGACAAGGCCCTCGAGGCCCTGAAGAGCTTTGCGAGCAAGGACTTGCCAACCGCAGGGCTGGACCTTCGGCTCCACGGGCTGTAGATCAGATCGCAGCGTCCCAGTTCGTACGGTTCAACTTTTCAATATTCTTAAGGGCATCTGTGGAGGGAGAGCTTCACTGTACAAATTGTTCTTCCCTCCCAAACACGAAGTGCACGGAGCAAAAACAATGGAGCTTGCATCTGGCGGTGTTTCTCCTGACAGATTTGACACTGCAGCGCATTAGGGCAAGACACACGTCGCTTTCCAAGGCCTACTGGGCGACGCCTATCCGTAAGGAGGGTGCTGAGACATCCTTTGTTTGCCAACAAAGCGAGGCAACTTGTGATGGACCCGTTCGCGCAGTGACCACAAGTGGTTGACAGCCAGAGCCCGCATGAATTTAAAGCGCCGTAGACCTCAATGTCGAGTGATTTTTTGCTTATGACCTATGTATGGCGCGCCAACTGCAAGCCACTTGCTGTGGCTGTTTCTGACAAGTGACCAGTGTTTCGAAGGGCGCAACATACTGCTGTGGCGAGGAATGCCCTCGCTCTCATCGCCGCATTGGTTTCATCTCATCTCTTCATTTTAACCTTAACAGAGCATGGGGCTGGGTGGGGCTGAAAAGGTACGGTCCACGAATTGCGCAGGTGCAAACCTCGCGGCAGTGGCCCACCGATCATGCTTTGCAATTGTTCCCTTCGACTTAACGTTTGAGAATTTGGGCATCTGGGTGATGCAAGGAGCAATAAGCACTCTGCCCTTGGAGTTCCGTGCCGTGCCATGAAGGCATGGATCTGACTCTGACTACACGCGCTGGGACCCCGGCGGCCACTGCCGAAGGGGCATCCTGGGTGATCCGGAATAACGTCTTTTGCATACGAGTAGCTGTTTGCCAAGATATACGGAGTTCACATGCGAGTATTGTGAGACCAAGCTCTCATGCGTCCTGTACAGATCAGAAACGAATCCTTTCAAGCTCCGACATGATTTGCGAGCCACGCTTCACTGCTGAGACAGCTGGAAGCTGGGGGATAGCCCATGCAGATTTGGAGGAGCGGACTTGGGCCGGTGCAGTGCCAGGGCCAGAGCTCTAAGATCTAGAGGTTTCATTTGTAGCGGTAGTCGTCTTAAATTTCCAGAGCTTCTGCCTCTTGAAGTCTTGCAGTGGTCACCATGAGCGGAGAAGGACCTGTTGCCATATACCGAGGTGATGCTACTCTGGACAGCATGACAACCCCCAAAAGAGACGCACAACACCGCTCTCTCGTGCGTCCGGAAAGAAAAGCCTCGCTGCCTACAGTAAGGCCTAAGTACTGTGGGAGGCACACACTTCCGCTTCACATTCGATGTGGATTGGACCTGACTTCACACAAGCACATGTGCACCGCAGAAAATGAAATTGGAGAGCACGGTCTGAGAACAAATACTCCAATTTGGACTTGGGAAGCCTCTGGCGCTGTGTGCTGTTGAATTTCCAGTGACAAACTGGGCCGGCGGAGGGGGGGATTAGCCCCCACTTCGCAGGCGTGGCACGGGGAAATCTGAGGATTAAGGATGCTTGCGGCGCCGAGAGGTGATCATGAGGAATGCCTGATGGACCATGCTTCCGTGTTTGAAGTAGCATGCGCTAGACATTTCTTGCAGCGTCTGCTTTTGCTGCACTTCTGAGCCACGAGACGCAGGTCATGGCTGCGGAGACAGGTGGGCTCCGGTTTGCTAGTGCAGGGAATAGAGGTGCTGAGAGCCCTTGTGTGTCAACACCGCCATGTGAGCTTAACCGCAAATATCCCAAAAATCAGAGTCCAGGAACAGGTATTCGGAGATATGCGGGCTAACTCCCACGAGTTGCGAGGGTCAGATGGCATCAAAGAAGCAGAGAGGGTTTTGCCGGAAGCCGTTCAGGAACTGCGGAAGGGTCTAGAAGACCCCGGCGCTTCACGTGCGCAGCCGAAGAAGTTAGAGGAAGGTTTGTGCCTCAGAGGTGCATCGGCAGCGTTGCGCTGCGCAGCTCAGGTTCTCCGACGAAGCCCCTGCCCCGCAGTCTGCACCGGCGCCAAGCGCCTCGTCGACTGCCATCCCTCCGCGGCAAGGCAGAGCCACTTCGGGGCCCTGAACTGTAATGGAGCCGTTCGTTATTCGCTTGGATGCAGAGCGGTTCGCTGCGATCTTTGATGTGCCACGACCCCGCAATGCTCTCCCGTGGAATGAGCCTGTAGCATAGAGACACAAGTCTACACTCGCACCCACATCTTCACCATGCCGTGGCTTTAGCCCGCCGGTGGGTCGCTCAATCAGCGGCTCTGTCAGCTCTTTGCCTGCAGCTGCAAATTCTGTTGCTGAGAGCAGCCAGAGACTACCGGACTTCGTTTGCATGATTGCATTGCACAGCAGCAGGTCGCCACCGAATCCTCGTAGACAGCTCTGCCCAGCACATTGTGTACCGCGATGTTTGGAGAGGCTTTTCAGCGGCCACCCCGCCGCCTTCCTACGGGGGCTTCAGCCAGCAACCAAGACCGCTGCTGCCCCAGTTTGTAGAGACAAGGCAGACTTAAAGGATTACAAAATGAGGATCACTACTGGAACCCTCACTCAGGGCACCGGCAGTACATCCGCCGGCTGCTTGGCCCCAGCAGTGGGAGGCCGAGATAGGAGTGGCAGCTGAGATCCTTTCGGGAACCAATGCACCCCCAAGAAAAAAGACAACTCCAGCTCCTTTTGCGTTTAGGAACTGGGGAACGGCACCTGCTGCCGGCTGGGGCGCTGGTGCTGCTGGCCTCGCCGGCCCGGCCTTCGGCTGCTAGTTTCGGGCTTTCAGCATGTGCCTTTTTCTTGGCTCTGAGGTGCAGGTGATGGCTGGGGAGGCACTGAGCCCTCGGATTCACGCACATCTGTCGCAAATCTCGCAAGCTTGGCCGAATAATTTACCCTTTGTATTTGATTTTGAAATTACAACTTCTTTCATGTACAATGCTTGATATACAAGTGTTGTATGAAACCAATTTTTCAATAAAATAAAACCAATGCTTCAAACATGATATATATATATATAACCAATGCTTTAAACATGATATATATATATATGTATATATATATATAGATAGAATTTATATTATATTATATGGCAGTTCATGACGAGCTGTTTGAGATACACTACAGAATAGCATAACACCAATTGAAAAGGTTTAGAAATTCTCAAAAATCCAGAACCAAAAAATGAGATGCTAAAAGAAACGGCAACACTAACGGAAGAAGACACCAAGCATTTAGACGAAGAAGTGGATTTTTGGATGAGCAAATTTCAATGCAAAAGGAAATAATCAAGTTGTATGAGACGAAGTACATATATTCCTACTACAGATTCTATTTAACGACAAAGAATGTTTAGTAGAATTACCAAATTCAACAATCGTGAATTACCCATTAAGGAGTTGAGGGGCAGTTGTGGAAAGTTGATTTGGAATTCAGATTTCGGTAATTTGGGATTTATTGTTGGTCAAATGGTTGAGGTGTGGATGTCAAAAATGGGATTTTTGAAACACATGTTCAAACATGTAGGGTGGGATTCAGGGATTGAGGCGTTCGGGCGTGAGCCCGAAAAACGGGCGGGCACAACCATAACTCCAGGGCCCTACAAGGGCGAGGACTGGGTCTAGCCCGTCCTTTATTCGGGATATCAAAATTCCAATCCCATCGGACCGTTGCGATGAATAGCCTTACAAAGCTGCAGTCCAGCGATGACTGGCCTGGTCTTAGCTGTATGTCAGTTGGGGGGTTTCTGCCGAGCTTCGGAGCGTGCCATAGTAGCGTCATGGCGCAGGTGGGGGTATGTTGGAAGGTGGGGGTGCTGCCCCAACACAGGTACAGACTGGACATTTGTCAGCTGAGTAGGGGTTTGGGCACGCAGGCACTCGCCCTATCCGTTTATGGTCGAGAGAGTGGGAGGGGGAGAAGAGAGTCAGTAGCTCCCCGTGCCCTTGAGTTTCTATGCAAGCAAGCAAGATAGCAACAGTTAGCGAGTGAGCACTGCATCAGGGATAACCGGGTCCGACGCGTTGGAAGGAAGGAATGGCCCGATATAGTGAGCAGCCGGACCGAGAGCACACGTGCCAGATCGACGTGGCGATGCTGAAGCCACTAGGTGCCGCAGAACGGCTGGCCGACAAGCCAGTAACCGAATTGCCGTACGGCGGAAGTCCCCCTGGAGAGACCACGAGAAACTCGGCAGACGGCAGCTTCAAAAGCTCCTTGTCGTTGGCTGGGAAGCAGGGCGGTCTTGATGTCATGAGATCCACACCGCTGGGATCGCTGCGCTTGCGAGTCCCGCTTGCAGGCGATGCTTGGGCAGGTGGGTGGGGCCCAAGCGATGGCTGGGCAGGTTCGGGCAGCATGAACCGAATTTTGCGGATCTTGTCAAAGCGCTCCTTCAGTGCCAGGCTGGCAGGGTGCCTGGGGCAAGGGAGGAGGAGGAGGCGCAGGTGCAGTGTGATCCTGCGTCGCTGTCAGATGCTGGCCTCTCGACTCCTCCTGTTGTGCAGGTGCGTTTGGCGGCCCTCCCATGTTCGGGCCTTCCCGCCGCAGTTCTGTCGTTGCCGGCCTCCGGACTCTCCAAGCACAGTACCGCAGCTGCCAGGACCGTGCTGATTGGCACGGTAAAGAGCTACTCTGCCGTCAAAGGCTTTGGGCCGCGAGCCCAGCATCGTGATCCGATCTCGTTGCCCTGGTTGCGCCCAGTCACATCACCAAACCGTGCATTCGTAGACTGGAGCTGCAGAGAGGAATTCTGCGTCTTGAGCTTCTTGGGGCCATGATGATGTTTCGCCGAGGTTCCTCATTCACCCTGACATTCCGCAGGATGCCAGCAGTTGGCTTCTCCATGCACGGCGTGCTTTGGAAGAGGAGGCGTGGCCTTCCACCCAACAAAGCGCTGGCAGGACATATGGTTTGCGAAGGAAACCGTAGCTGCGGAGCTCAGGACTGGGAACTGACGCGTCCCTGTTGTGTGGAGCCTCCCGCAACCTGCAACTGCAGGACCTCCGACCTAGCAGGGACTGCCATGGCTTTCGAGCTCATGAGGGCCCCGGATGGCAAGCCTCAGGTTCGCCGCAATGAGATGTTGGGGGCGGACCAGGGTGGCAAGAAGAGTTGGGAGTATTTTGGAGCTCTGGAGACAACAGGCTGCGTTCTTCCATTACACACTCGTTGTGGGATGTTACAGACATAGACGTCATGACCGGCGGCTCGCCGCAGATCCGCTGCCAGGCTCGCAATCTGCGACCCGCCCCGGCCATGGCCTCGACTCCGTCACTCCACGTCACTCCAAATCCCTCCCTCCCTTCTCCCTCTGTCGCTGTGTTCTCTCTCTTCTCCTGACTGCTCTCTCTCTCCCCCTCTCCCTCCCTCCCTCCCTCTCTCNNTCTCTCTCTCTCTCTCTCTGTCACAATATCTTCTCTCTCTCTCTCTCTCTCTCTCTCTCTCTCTGGCAATCTTTCTTGCGCTGTATTCTCAGCCTCAGCCCTGCTGAAGGCGGACAGCTTGTCGGCTTGGTAGGAAACTAGGGGTTTGCAGGGGCAGGGCCATGCAACGAATCGAATGGTTTGGAGTATCCTGGTTCAAAGCCCGGAACATGTTTCCATGACCCTAGGCAAGGCTCACTTTAGTGGGCTCGGGCTGCGGCCCAGGTGCTTAGGATTTGTCGGGAAGCCTTGCACGCGCATCTCTTTCTCTGGAGTGTTTTCTCTCGTGACTGCCAGGCTGGCGCCGGGATGCCCCCACCCCCGGTGAACCCCAATCACCACCCGCATGCAATGCCGGCCCGGGACGCAGAGGGAGCCCTGCTGTTTGGCATTCCATTTAATCCAGGTCTGTTGCGAGTGGATTTTGTATCACCTACTTTGCTCCTGGGTCCAGCCTTCCTTCGAAAGGGAAGCAGGGATCCACGGCCAAGCCTTGCAGACGCTTGCCAAAGGAAGGGTGTCATGATTTGGGAAAGGAAGAAAGCCGACATTGCAAGGCACTTCGTAAAGGAAGGAGTCGAGAGGGTCACGTTTTTTGAGATTGAGGGGTTGTGCACAAATCCCATTCGCTGCTCCCCGAGACACCTGAGATGTAAACACCCCAAAGAAGATAGTACTTTTAAGGCTCCATGAGCCACTAACTGCACTAACTTTTTTCACTAACTCCTCTACAGGGCTTCCGGCCGGGAATGCCTGGCCATCCCGGCCTTGCCGGATGTCCGGGCCTCGTCCGGCCTGGCTTCCCTGGCGCAGTCCGTCCTTTAGGAGCCGGTGCGGCGCCCGGCCCATGCTTCAATGTGCTTTGAGGGCTTCGGGATCAGGGTCCGGGTGCCAGGGTCAGCTTCTTTTGCATCCAGATTTCACCGACAGCCGTGCTGACTGCTGACTCCTACCGGTAAATGCCCACAGGCAGCAGCTGGAAGCGTGTCCGGAGTAACCCGACCAACCGAGACACCCAGAAGTTTCCATTTCCTGCATCCGCGCAGCCCGGTGTGCCGTCCTTCTGGGAAGCATAAACGAAGAATACCGCAGTCTCCCGGTCTTTTGGATCACCTCCTGCCTCGCAGTGGGTGTTGGAGTTGGAGTTCCGCTTGGTGGCTGTGGCCAGCCCAAAAGACGGGCTTGGTCGCCTCATGTCCGGGCCCCGGCTCTTGCTTTGCCTGCTCAACTTCAGAGAGGCCACGGGACAGGGGCTGACATCTGCACTGCTACATCTGACAAGTCAAACTCTACAGAGAGAAGGGAACCAATACGTCACGCGTGCGTAGTTTGTCCTGTTGCGTGGTGCACCTTAGATGTGCTTAAAACTTAACACCTAGGTTTTGACAGGATTTCATGCGCAATCAGGGGCAGCGTTAAATTCTGCAACCTCCTTTTCCACGAAATCCCATGCGTTTGACAGCACTTTCAGGGCGCGCTTCGGCACAAGCCCGAAAGCTTTCGCAGAAAGGTGGGTTTGCTAGGTGCACCCATGTTCTTGCGCCACGTGCAAACGTAGGTGGCCTGAGTCGGCCTGAACAACAGGGCAAGGTTCACGCCATGCTCGGCCCTGCGTCTGAGGTTACCAGGGACCAACGCTTTAAGGCTTTGCCATGAACGATCAATGATTTGAGTTCCGGCTTTCTTCGGGGGTTTGTTCGCTAGATCCCGGCAACAGATATTTCTCTCGTGCGAAGCTTCGACTCGGTATGTCAGCGAGGAGAGCCATCGCACTGGGTAATAGACACGCCCGCAAGCACGGTTTGATTAGAACTGTTCTTCAGAAGCGATGCAATGGACTCCCGCTGCAGGGTTTTTTTCTACGTCTTCCCGCGCTGACAGCCCAAGCGGATGCATTGGAAGTGGAATGTAACCACCCCCCGGACCCATGACAGGGCAATCTGTGCGCGTTCCACCAACTAGTTGCCAGTTGACTCTGCGGGAGGAGAAGAGGAAGATAGTGAGGGAGAGAGAGCCCCCCAAGCCAACATGACGACCGGCAACATGTAGTTACAATGTAGTTCTTATATGACTGTTTACTTGTGTGTTGTTTCTGTTGTTGGAATCTCCCTTCGTGGGTCATCATTTGTTGGCATATCTTCCTGGCGAATCTGCCATGGTTTTTGTTGGAAAGACAAGTCGCCATGACATTTAGGGGCCGCCTGGAGCGCGGGGAGGGGGGTTCGATCCCCCATCCTGGTGAAAGAAAGAGAGCCCCGGCCAGGTAAGCAAGGTAGAGATATTTTAGTCTTCTGTGCTGATTCCAGGCCGGTTCTCGAGCCATAGCTACAGCCTCTTTGGAAGAGGGGCAGGCACGAATCAGCCGAGGGACGGGAGCCTGGGAGAATCAAGTTGCTTGCGAATGGGTATGTTCATGTCTGCTCTTGGTGCTCCAAGCTCGGAAGCCGTGTGAACGTTGGCAGGGCAGGCACCCGCAGAATTTTTGTGGCAAAACTAGAAAGCGACTTCGTAACTAAAAAGCGCTGAAAGCTTCGGCCACCACGGCACCGCACGGCGCTGCCTGGCGCTGCCTGGCGCTCATGGACTCCGGAAGCGAGGACTCGGATGGGCCGAGCCAGAAGCGGCGGCGCCTCAGTGCCACTTAGAAGCAAAGAGCGGGGCCGGGCCTCGAGTCCTGCGTCCTGGGTTTCCTCCTTTGGCGTTCTCTGAGGTGCCTTCGTCGCTACAGGGCCTCTTCGAACGTGCCGAGGAGCCGGAGGACCATGGTGGCCGAAAGCGCCGCGTGCCGCATGTCGAAGGGAACTACCCGACCTTAGCCGCTCGGCAGGCTTACCGAAAGCCTAAGGACTACCCTTACTCATGCGTTCGAGTGCTTCGAGGGCCCCCGTTGTTGCCAAGGTGTTTATTCCCGTGACCATGACGTGACTTGGCACGCAAATTGCGTAAGGGGAAGCTTGAAGCAGGGCCACGCCAACAACAAGGCAGATTTATCTGCTCCAAGTCGCGTGCTGAAATTCGTGCTTCACTTGTTGCTGCGTCAGGCGAGCGTGGCGACGGACTGGCGACCGCTGCAAGGCCACAGTGGGAACGGTTGTTAGTCCGTGCCCTATATGTGTTGGCCTCGCTCTGTATGCGTGGCTGTTAAGGGGAGGCCTCAACTCAATTCTCACAATGCTGCGACTTCAGAGCAACCAGCTGTCGGCACGTTCGCCCGCCAGAGAACAATGCTTTTGTCGGTGGGAGTGTATGCTGACGGGGGCCAGAGTACGGAATCGAGCTGGTCGCAGGAATGATGTATAGGCAGTTTATACGATGGCGCCCAAAGTGAACAGAATGAATAGACGATGTTGAATGCTGCCAGCAAAGAACACAAGGCGCTGCTGTCGCGGCTAGCACCCCATGCCGATGTCCTCGGCACAGATCCGGAGGCCTCCGTTTGCGAGTTCATGTCTTCTCAGCTAATGAGGCGTCTTGGGAAGTTATCTTCTGGCTACTGGGTGGTTCCTTGGTAATTAATTCAGCATCATTCTCTGTAGTGCACATGCCAAATCTGTCCGTAGCAGCATACCAAACACTTCAAAAAGCTCCCCGCAACTGGACTTCTGACATGGTCTGTGAGTGTGTTCGGAAGGACGTGATGGAAGCTCGAGACAAGGATTCTGAATTGCCAGGTCTCCTTGCCTTCCGAACGAACACTGTGTGTCGTGCCAGTCTTTCGGCCTGACCTAGCCATGTCAAGCAAAAGAATTGAGCCCCTTCTGCGAGTTGAGCCTGAAGCTTCACAGACCCATCGCTCAGCCCCTTGATCAGGTCGGCGCAGGACCTGCCCTTGCTTTTTGACTGTGATATCATCACTTCGACTTGTAGGATCTCTGCCCAACACAAGCCCTGCCCGCTGCTTTTCGCTCTGCCGTACACCGTACCATCAACAACATCCACGAACATGATTTGAATTTCTACGGTGTGGACACGGGTGTACGCGCAAGTGAGCATATCTTCAATTCAGGCCCAATGAGTTAGAGCGGCATTCAGACAGAAATCAAAGCCTATATCTGCGCATGTACTCCGTGGTGTCGCCTTCTTGCCCAGAGGCATACACGGACACATCTGTACCCGAATACTTCAGTATGGTAGCTTGAGTCGATCACAGTTTACATTCACAGATGCCTGTGGGCTTACCTGCCCGTGCCTGTAGCCCTCTGTTGGTTCGTTCCTAGCTCAGCCTGCGAGGATTGCATGTCAGCTTGGCCCCTTTGATGATGCTGCGGCGCCAGTCCATCCAGCCTTTCGAGGAGAGGCGCAGTGCGGGCTTTTGGTTTACTCGGAAAGCTCGATACCGTGAGTTGCGACTGCACTTTTCCCTGAGTTTCAAGTTGAAGAGCTGTACTAGGACCACTAGGAGCACTCATAACAGACAAGGCGCAAAATGCCACAGTGTTTCCGATTCTGGTGAGTCTGATTGTCGCACTTCTTCCAACCAGGCTGCGCAAGCTGGCAGAGGGCCTTAGCATGCCGGACGGGGTGCAGGTGCCGGTAGGTTTGTAGCATCCACTCCCCTGTCCTCCATGTGCTTGTTCCTCGGGGTTGCATTTTTGTGCTTCTGAGCCACGGCCAAGAGGAGGACATCTGGTTCAACGAGACCTTCGAGGTTTTCTCCTCGGCTGAGGGCGACAGACGCCTGGCTCGTCAGCTTGCCTCGGCCGTGGTGCGTTTGCCGGGACGGTCAGCAGCAAACAGCCAAGGATATTTTGCCGGTGCGTCCTGGACTGCAATGCAGATTGTATGTCTGGACGTGATGTCAGGACCTGGTAGGAGCGAAGCGGCACGGAGGCCAAGGAAGGGTTCATGTCTCAAGATCGTTCGTTGCCGCTTGCGAGAATGAGTGTAAGCTGCTAGCTGTTCTCTTTTTCTCCCCTTGGCCCTTGGCATTCAAAGGTTTTGTTTCATGGGTGCTAAAAGCAATCGCGGCCAGAACCCTAGGATCACAAGAACTCAGGCGTCACTGCAACACTCCCACCAACACGCATGCCCGATAAGTCAGAGGAGAATATCTGCCCTCCCAGAATTTGTCGCAAGCTAAAGATGACAGGGGCCGCTTTGATGTGACAAGGTCTCTGCTGTCTCCGCCTCCCAACGATGGTTGCGGCCGCTAGCAGCTGCTGTGGCCTCCGCGGCGTCGGGTCCTCAGGTCCTCGACCCCCAACCCCATCCTGAGCTGGAATGCCCGAGACTGGGATCAGGCAGAGTCCAGGGCTTCGAAGTCCCAGATTTCAGGTTGCGAGGGGCTTAGTAGTCTTGGCATTGGGGTTTCTTTGAAAACAGAACCGGGTTCCGTCCTGCAGCTGTTTTGTTTATCCGGTTTTGCAACAGAGAGAGGAGGGAAGCACGTGCCAACCTACGGAGAACACTTGCTGCGATGCTAGGTCGTCAGCCGAAGCATAGCAGATTCCCAAGAGTCACTGAGGCACGAGCTTGGGGTCTCTGTGGCGACTCACAGTGCGGATCTGCTCCAGCTGTGCTGCGGCAGCACAGTTTCTGCAAGCGGACGAGACGAGAATGTGTAGGGAGTGGAAGTTGTTGCTCGCATTGTGCATTCTGCGAAAGAGCGCAATTTTTGCGATTTGGACTCTTGTTTCACGGTGTGCGCGCGTGCAAATGCACAGTCACTGTTTTTGCTTGCTATCTTGCTCTATAGGCACTGCTCGTTGGCGTGGACGACGAGCGAGCTGCGGCCAGCGCTCAGTGCAGCGGGTGCCGAGATGCAGGCCAGGCTTTCGCCAGCGGTTGCCGAGATCATCGGTTTAGGGTTTAGGGTTTAGGGCCTTTAGGGTTTAGGCTGCTCTGAGAGCTGTCCTGCTGCTACAACTGATGTGGGAGCCGACCCCAGGCGAAGTGCGAAGCCTGTTGCAAAAGGATGCATTCATATGCATTCCTTGCAGGAAAGTCCATGGGGCCGAAGATGGATCTTGCAGGTGACTCGGCCTCGGAGGTCCCTCCAAGTAGCAAAGCCTGCTGCTTTACCTCGATGCTGTTACAGTTTGCGAAATCAGGGCTTTCATAAACGGGCTTTTGCATGTGCCACCGTCATGAGCGAAGCAAACTCCATCGAAGCCCGAATCAAGGGTCTTCACCGACTTTCCATTAGTCTGAAAGCCCGTCATCAGCGCAATTGCAGAAGGGTCGCCACCTTGGCCTTTCACCGCCCCGGCGGGTGCTGTCCGTTCGGTTTGCAGCCCGCCCTGCCTGGTTCGCTGAGGACGGAGCCGGGGACGCACGTCTGCAAGATCGGTTGATGGCTTCAACTTTTTGCTGCAAGAGGGTGTGTGACGCGGGCCTCACCAGTGCTCCCAGGTACCCCTCAAGCTGCGGGTCAAGGCGCGAGACCATGCGAGACCGTCCTTGCGCTGGCTGTCTTTGCGGAAGTCTTGTGAGTCAGGGTCTCCGTGCCAGAATCGGCGATCGAACTTCAAGTGCTGCCTTCACGCAGCTCAAAGGTGTGAGCCCCAGCTTGCATTTCTTGATGGTCAGCAGCAAGCTTCGTCTGTAGTCGGCGCGCTTCCTTTGTATCCGTGATCCGACATCTGGGCTTGCGCCCAGGCGGTTCAAGCGAGGACGAGGAGTCCTTGTCTGGCAGTGGCGATGACCATGACCAAACCTTGACCTGACAGCTTCCATGGACGCACGGATCTTGCCGTGCCACGTCCAACGGCGCAACATCACCTCGACGCAGCAAAATCGACTGGCCTGTGTTGGGCTCTTCTTGGTCACAGGCCACGGACGCCTTCGACATGTTCCCAGGTAGAGAAATGCAGCAAGAAGCAGGACGTGAGCAGACTTCGGCAGACATGTGTGGTGATGTTGGTGGTACTTCCCTCCGAAACAGGGAGACAGGTGAGTCGAGGTCATTGGTTGACAGGGCGGCTGCTGCTGAAAAAGTGTGCGGAAAGAGTTGGTGCTTCAAAAAGCTGGCAGCGACAGTTCTTGTTGCTGGCCCTGACTTCTGGCTCTGTATCCATGAAGAGGGTTGTAGCTGAATGGTATGTTGATTGAGAGAAGACTGCGCGTTGCATGTTCTCAGCATTCCCAGCTTCGTAACACAAGAAGTCTAGCAGTCTAACCCGTGTACTCCACACAAAGTCGCGGAAAACCAAACATCCGGCTGGTACAGAGGCAGAGGCCAGCAGCCTCGTGGTCATGATCTGACTTCATGGAGGCACAGACAGATGCACTTCAGCAACGCATCCAACACTTACATCATCTCGCGGTAGAGCCATGGCTCGAACACAGGGAAGAGTGAAAAGCTTCAACGGAGCCAAGGGCTTCGGTTTCATTGCCGCCTGGCTGACCCTGGCGCTAGAATCGCAAGAAGGGCGGACAAGGGGAGGGCCACAGTCTGAAATTTTATGCCACACGAGGTTTCCAAGCGATGTGAAGGCAAAGAGGCCCCAATACAGCATTCTCGTGGCACTTGCTCAGGACATTGGCACAGGTACCGATGTCTTCATTCACATCAAAGACTGACGCTTGGAATGAACTAGGTGGAGGCCACAGCGTGTCATGTAAGAATAAGAAGGGTCCCCGGCCTCCACTGGACAACTTTGATTTAGGCCTGTTGTACACTTGTTTGAAGCTACGGACACAACAACTGTGGAGCTGCTGTGTTCTTTCGTGATGCTGCTGCTGGTGCTGGTAGTGCTGTTGGTGCTGCTGTTGGTGTTGGTGTTGGTGGTGTTGGTGGTGGTGGTGGCGGCACGGTGGCGGCGGTGGCTTTCCCCGCTGCGCGTAAGCGACAAACCCACTTCCCACAACCGTTGTAGGAGGCCCGTGCGATTGCCTCGACAATGGATGCGAGAGCGCTGCATGATTCGCGCTCTTGAGCACTCCCATGATTTCAGGGTGCATGGTCAGCCTATGGTTCCCAAAACACTTCAATACGCTTGCCGTTCAACGGCTTGTTTGACTTTTGGTGCCATGTGGCTTGCGACTGGTTCTTGGATGGGATGACGCAGAATTCTCAATCTTGTTCAGTGCTGCTACCGCGACCATGGAAGTGAGGACAATGACAGCAATCATATTAATGCTTGTGCTACTTTGCCTGAAGCTGCCATGCAGCTACAACCAGCAGGCATAGATGACAAGCAGCCCGTTCCGGGAGATGTCCTCACTTTCTCGATGGAGCCGAGCCAATCCAAGCCGGGGCAGATGGCCGCATCGTTGCAAGTAGCCTGCGGCTGGTGCGGGAGGTCTCCAGCCTGTTTTTGTGTGCCAGAGGTTGCCAAGAATGTAGAAGGCAGCACCGGCGTCAAGGCGCGCCTGCTAAGCCCTGCCAGTGATCGTCATGATTCTTGATGCAGATGTTGTCTTGCAGTTTTAGTTTCAGCAAGCAGGGCTGGTCCTTTTTTGATCCGCCTGTTCAAAGAGCCCGGAGGAGATGCCGCAGTTCCCAGCAGAGCCTGCCCCGGAGATTGCTGGCTCGGGTGCGAACGTAGGCAAAGTGCCTCTTGGCCCGAGAGCTCTTCTCTGTCCGCTCAAGTCTGCATTTGGTGTCGAAACCGAAAGCCAAGGCGGACCTGGAACGACACCAAGGGCTACGGCTTCATTGATCTGCCCGGACAGCCGTGGCTTTGCGATACCATCAAAGATCGACTTTCATGCGGGCCATCCTAAGATTGGTGCTGGTGTCCGATTTGCTGAGGAATGTTTGGCTGCACGTCAAGGAGTGCATCAACACCCAGCCACAGCAAGGTTCCGCTGAAGACTTAGTTCAATGCGTTCAGGGCCATCTTGAAACTCCGGCCTTCTGGTTGCGCAGGCGATTGGGTCCGCTTCGACGTGCAGCCCAGTGAGACCAAGCCGGGACAGATGGTGCCCTGGGGCCTTGGGGGGGATCTCCGCTTGCGAAAGCGCTTCTTCAGATCCGCATGAACAGCTACTTGTGGCAGCCTCGCTCTCCGATGTTCCGACTGTAGGAGAGTTCGGAGTGTCTTGGCAGGTCGCGAAGAATGTCACCGGCGGAAGCCAGCCCCTGGGCCAACGTGGCTACGGCCCTGTCTCAAGCGGAGGCCGCCTCGGCTCAGAATGGGGGGCCGTCCAGGTTGCCCCGAGCCCGCCAGGTCTTGGCCTTCAGGTAGGTCTCACATGGGGCTGCAAGACACGAGCCACTGTCTCACAAGCCAATGCCCCCAAGCCATATCGAATTTCCTGCGTGCAGGAGCAGGCGCAGTTGCTGCAGCTGGGTACAGCCCGTATGGTGTTACTGGCCTGACGGCAGGCGAGATGACCACAGCTGGGAAGCAGTCGACTAGATCGAACAGCCAACCAGAAGAGTGTACTGCCCCTGCAGGTGCCTTGCAAGGAGTCGCAGGCTATGCCGTACAAGTTCAGCAACCGGCCCTAACAGCGTTGCCAGGGGCTCGGCTTGGAACGCGTCCGATTCAGCGGGCAATGGATGGTATAGGCCGTATAGGCACGTGCTAACGAGTCGGGAAGAGAAGCCTGAAGCTCAGGCCCGGTGGCGGATACGTCCTGCAGCAGTCTTTGCCTGTACAGGCAGTGCCCCAACAGGGACTGCAGCAGGGCTTGTATGGCGTGGCTGGCATGCAGCAATACGCCATTCAGCAGCCGGGAGTGCAGCAGCTGCAGCAACTAGCAGTCCAGCCGGGCCTGCAGCAGTTCGCAGTGCAGCCTGGCATGCAGCAGTTCGCTCTGCAGCAGCCGGGCATGCAGCAACTGCTTCAGCCTGGCATGCAGCAGTACCTGCAACCCGCTATGATGCAGCAGCCGCTGATGCAGCAACAGACGCTTCTTCAGCAACCGGTGGGCCTCCAGGCCCTCATGCTGAGTGCAGATGGTAGCTGCACTGTTGGGTTCTTGCCCCCAGGACGCTGCTGCCGCTGGCCTACCTGACGGGCCCTCAGATCGCAGATCGAGCAACGAAGAAGTCGCAGTCTCTTTAGCTGAAGGTGATGGCCGATCCTTCACAAGCTGCGTTGCAGACAGGAATGCCGGGGGCGGGGGCGGTGGCCGGGGCCATCGAGGCGCCTGGCGAGGCCCAGGCTCCGCCCGTGCCGCCCCCGCCTGAGCCGCTCGGGCCGCTCGGGGCAGTGCCACAGGACGCGCTGCCAGCGGCACCACCAGCACCCGCAGAGCATCCGGAGCAGGCGGTGCAACCAGGTGAGCCTGCTCTCCCGCCAGCGCCCGCACCACAAGAAGCGCCTGGCGATGCGAGCGTGGCAGCGCAACTTGCCGCTGTGGTCGGCGGCCCACCACCGCCCCCACCCGCAGATGCCGCCACGCCACAATGAAGTGCGGAAGGCACGGGGTATCACCCAGCGCTGCATGAAGGGGAGTTTGTCCGCAGCATTGACGCTGTGTTGCCAGGCTGTCCAGCTGCCAGTGATCTGACTGCATGCCCTAGTGCCATCTAGCATCGTGCCGGGACAAGTGTGGGGATGTGACATGTGTAGGAGGTTAACTAGGCGCGCGTTTAGATTAAGAATCCCGTAGCGGGCTCGTCAATCAGACTTGATTCATCTGGTTCATAGGCATAGTGTTGCCATGTTGCGCCTTTTCTCTTACACCCCACTCCATAAAATAGCATGAGTGTAATGAACGTACTACACAACGCTAGCGTGTAGTGGCGCCCGGTCTCCCACACTGCAGAGTGCATCTGCACTGGCCATGATGAATTGAGTTGTGGTGTTGGCGCAGGGACTTACAAGATGTGCAGATGTTACGCTGCATGTGATGGCAGCATCACCATCTCCCGGAGCTCGGAGCGCTGGCATTTATGGACTCTGAAAGTGCGCAGGATGCGAGGGTGTGAGCTGCGGGAGTCGCCACCTCTGCGTGTTTTTCATCTGAGCCGCGTATCGTAACAAGTCTCTCGACTAAATCCTTTAGCATCGGGTGCGAGGCACACGAACAAGACAAGTGCAACGGCCGATCTCCATCTCCACGTTCGTTTTCTTCTGCTTTTCATCGCTTGAATTAGTTCGCCCACTCCTAGCAAGGCTGTTCATCAGGCCGAAGCTGTTGCTGTTGCGCACCCTATGAAGCAAGAATGTGAAGCACGGTTCATGGACAGGCGGCAGGCGTCCCGCCACCTGTCGTTGAGGAGAAGGCTCCGCCCTCCGCGTCCGAGGCGGCTCCAGCAGCACGTGGCAAACTGCAGTCACGTGACCAGTTCCTGCTTACTTCTAGGCAAGCCTAAACAGAATCACTTGGATAGAAAATCGGGCATGCGCGATGCGACCTTCAACTAGCTCTGAAAGCATCGTCTCAATAATTCATATTCGGCGCTTTGTTACCGCGCCTGCGATTCATTCGTACTCACTGCCGCTGCCTGTGTTATGTATCCCCTGTGCGATGCTGCAGCTTCTTAATGTCGAGACCGCTTTTTCTGCGAGGAGAAGAGCCCGTCCTCACGAAGAACAAGCGAGGAATCGCAGAACATCTCGAGATGACATGTAGTAACATAGTACTCCTTGCTTTCTCCTTGCGATCTTCTATGCTACTCGTATCGAGCTGCTGTTTCCGCCTTCCAGGAGTCCTCGGAGAGCTCCTCGGAGAGGCGGCGGAAAAAGAAGAAGAAGGCCGCTGGGCAGGAACACGGCGATCCGTGTAGAGTACGCTTCAAGTTCCATCGCGTTGCTCCGGGGGTTGCGGAGCCACAGCGACCCTCCGTGCGTTCTCTGAGGATAAGAAGAAGAAAAAAAAGAAGAAAAAGAAGCCGCCTCCTTAGCAAAAGGCATTCCTCACAGCAGGCAATGAGAGAGCTACCGCTCTTCGCAGGTCTAAGAAAAGCGGCTGTCTCCTCAGCTGCATAGCACTAATCATAAATTTGCAGCATTTGTCGGCAGGGATTGGATTTGAGAGAAAGCGTCTCCGGCATCTGATGTGCCAAGTGCATGCAGCCTTCACGGAGAACTTGTTGGACGAACCCTGCTGCATGTAAGATCTCAAGGGCAGTGTGTGTTGCGTGCGGCCCTGGTGAAATACAACCCACCCAAAGCTTCTAAGGAAGCTAGGCTAGGATGTATTTTGAAGACAGTTTTTGCTTACATTACAACAACAAGAGTGGCAAAGGAGGCGCAGCAGCTGCCATGTGTGCCAGTCGGCCATGGCAGCAGCCTTCCTGGCGACAGAGACCGGGTTGCCGATAGTTTTTTGCGGAGCTCAGCAACAACGCCGCGCCCCGCGAGCCCAGGATGGGGAGCCCGAGCTGCTCGAAGGTCTGCCGCTCTGGATCCTCGAGAACCAGCAGCAACACGTCGGCAGTAACGGAAAAAGGGAAGCCCTGAAAGTGGCAAAAAGAAAGCCAGGATTGGTTGGTCTGGTGCCTGGGAAGAGACCCCGACGTCGGAAAGCCGAAGCTGGGCTGACAGCCTGATCGAGGCCTGGTGTCTGCGATGTGTCTTGTTCCGCCTCTTCCACTGCTCCCGCCAGTTCTGAAGGAGCGGGCACCACCTTACGAAGTCCTGCAGCTTGGGCAGCACAACAGGTGGAAGATTACTGGAACTTGCACACTATCTAGTGTTCTGTTGTGCTTCTCAACAAGGGCCGATGATGGCGTGCCTCATCTGCACCGGTGCAGTGCGACCACGGAACTAGGGAATCAGTTTAAACAGGGCTGAAGACCCAGCACGGGAGCGCCTCAGTGCCGCGGCCCCTCTGCACCGCCTCCAAGGTGACGAAGCTGAAAGACGTTCACTTTACCTCGCCGCCGGGACAGCAGAGCCGCAGAGCCCTTGTTCGACGACTGGAACTCTGCATGCGTTCACAACACGCGGAAAAGATCTCTCGGCCAAGGTCAGATCTGAGGGTCCTGGTCTACCCAGCAAAGCCCGACGGCGAGGAAATCTCCTGCCTCTATGGCCCGAAGGCTCAGCTTCCGATTAGTTTGAACCGACTCTGTTCAGGCAAGCTGTTCAAAATGAAGGATCGGACTGATGCGATAGGATGCGGCGCATCCGAGGAGTTCATATTTTGTGAGTTGTCTTCCGAGTCAAAGACTCGCACGCTGCCTGACAGGTGGATTCGACCACCGACTGCGATGGCTGGATCTACGCAACGAAGCCAAACAGGTGCAAAGGGCTAGGGCCGGTCTCAGTCAAACGAACTTGCGTCCGGAATGTCAGCTGTCCGGCCACTTCTCACTGCAGATAGGCTAGACTCCCAACGCCTGGGTGGTCGTGCCACACCTCGCCGCCTGGTCAGACAAAGACATTGAGGTTGGCGAAATTTCAAGCTCCGTATCAACATGGTGTTCGAAACTCACTTGGACTTAGTTCGACCACGCCCCGTCCCTCCTGCGGTCTCTCAAACTCCTCTGCAACGTACAGTAACCGACTTCCCAGGCTTCGGGGATCGGGTGCGGCGCCGGCGCTGGCGCCGAGGTGAACCGCTTCGTTCCGCCACTGGGCTCAGCACCGCTCGCGGTGTGGTTTTGCAGCGTTCTTATCGTGTTGCCGCGATTCCTAGTGATTCGGCTTTGCATCTTGTGTTGGACACTACGACTCCTGGTGTCCTAGTGCTCCGTGACCTTCGCAGCAGTGCAGAAGGCGAGCAGTAGGGAGTGTAGTTGTGTAGCTCCTAGCAGTTGACACCTTTCCAGTGGCGGAACAGCATTACCTGCGTGATCATGCCTCGGTTCCCTGTTTCATCAGCTGCTACATATTCCAAAAGCGAGGAAAGCGCCGCCCGCATCTTTTGGTGCGACAACAGCTCGAGTGCCATGCAGAGCCTTTGGAATGCTGTCGGTGACCTTGCTGGTAGCCAGCCCCTCATCCCTTGATTCTCCAGGCATTGCGACCTGCATCGGGTGGTGCACCCCTTTGTAGCAGCCCAGGACGCAGCATGTCGCAAGTGCCTATCGATCCTACCGCAGTCATCCGACGTTCGCACAGCGACGTGGCCCCCTGGCAAAGTTCAGAGGTCTTCCGTGTGCTGATCCTGTGATGTATGATTTCGCTACTTTTTGCTTCGTGCCAGAAACTTATCCTTGAGAGCGGCTGATTCTGATGAAGGGCTTTCAGCCTCAAGACTGGATTCACTAGATGCTTGTCCCACGCAGGAGAAGTACCAGAACCTCTGCCAGAGGCTATCGCCATGGGATGATTTGCCTACACTGGCAGATCCTTGGCACATGTCGAGAAGGGTCTAGTTGCCTTCCAATAGTACCCAACATGACATACAAGGACATGGTGCTGGCGGCAGTTTACAGCCGGGCTGCATATGCCTATACCGGACGGCGCGGTTTGTTCGATTCCGTGACACAAGGAGCTTTCCTGGCACAGCTTGCTTGCTGCATCTCAGCATATCTCAGCCATGCTCACGCACGGGTTTCTTTCTGTGTCCAGCCGAAGCTGTCTCGCCAACTGGAAAGCTCTCGTATACCCTTTTTGGTCCAACGCTCACTGGATAGGAGCCATGGTTTTCTCGCTCCACCGTGCGGCCTTCGACTATGCAGAGCATGTCGACGACGCATCCAACGAACCTGGCCCAAGCTGTTTCAACTGTGGCCATAAGCGCAGTCAGGGGAGATCCAAGGAGGCAGCCTTCCTCGACATGATGTGCCTGGCACCGGAAGACCTGCTGTGCGCACAATGGCGCAGCCTGGGGCCGCTGCAGCCACTTGCCCACCTGTACTCCTGAAGCATGCGCTCATGGAAACCTACAAAATAAACCCGTCCTTGCTGTCGTCCAGGCCAGCCTTCGCAGTTGCACGGGATCACACCCTTAAGTGGATCGTGGTCGCGGTCCGCGGGACTTTGTCGCTGAAGGACATCCTCACGGACTGCGCCGTAAACTCGGTTCCATTTCTGGAAGGCCGCGGCCAGATGCAGTCCGGGCAGACTTGCGGGCCTCCCGAGTGACGATCGCAGGCACAGCTCACGAAGGCTTCGTGAAGACCTCGCAGAAGCTGCTCGAGGCCGGGCTGGGCAGCCGCAGCAAGCCGCAGCCCACCTGTGGCATTCGCCTCTCAGGAGATCGAGGAGCTGCTGCGGAAGGAGATGCAAGCCCACCAGGACGGCAAAGTCTCTGTAGGAAGCTTTATGGGCGAACTACAGCACCTGGCCCACTGCGAGGGCTACAGGCTGGTGTTTTGTGGGCACAGCATGGGTGGAGCCGTCTCAGCCATGTGCGTGGCCATGCTGCGGGATAAGGCGGCTTCGTACGATGTCGGAGGCTGCATGCGATGTCCCTGAAGTGCAGATGAAAGGCAGCCAAAGATGTGGCGCGCTATGGACAGTGGGCATCACAGTGCCCCTCAGCTAGTTCATGACTCAGACTCTTCATGTGCGTTGCGTGTTGTCCATTACGCAGGCTGTGCTTACGGCATTGGCACTCCTGCGGTGCTGTCTCGAAACATTTGTGAACGTCTCGCCCAAAGCCGCGCGGCTTTCGTGGTTGTGAATGCGCAGGAGCTTATATGAGGGGGTTCTCATATGATGTGCTTGCCCAGAGACGGAGTCGGCCTGAAAGCGTGCAGGATTGGTCTCCACGTGCATCCGTGTCGTTGCATGGCTGCATTTAGGGGGTGTTGACAGGCTCAGAGATGTCTGCCTCAAGCAGCTGGAGTGAAGTTGTTCCGCAAAAAGTTCGCAGCCACCGAGCCCACAGCTGCAAACAAGAAGAGAACACGCAGATAAGGCCACCGGGGCACCGTCCCTCGTCCTGTGAGGTGTAAGATTGCTACGATTTTACCCCGAAAAATGGGCCTTGGAACCTTGATCAGCTCCACGTGGATTCCGCCCAGCGGCCTTGAGGAGCGTTTCCGAGCTCCTGGACGACTTGGTGGAGCTCAGCCTCGCGCGCACAATGATGCGCGACTTGGCGGGTGTGGGTGTCGCCATGCCGTTCCGTGTACTTGTAAGAGTGCTTTCGAGTGATGACCGAGCTGTTGAAAGTGTCTCGTTCCGTTCATTGCCTTGCAAAAACTCCAGCAGAAAGCTTATGATGAGCTTCCTATGGAGGGTTTGCCCCAGGATGTGTCGTTGGAGTCCCGTGACTCCTTATTTCCTTTCTTGCAACTCAACCTGAGTCGGCCTGCCAAGGCATGGCCACAGGTGCTGGGCAAGAGCCACGGCGCCCCGAGCCTGAGCAGGCACGTGGTCTGAAAGGCATTGCGTTTGTTTCAGCACTCCCTCGGCCCGAACCAACGCCCGTTGCAGCTCGAGCAGCTTCCACCTGGCGTGATGCTGCAAATCGTGCCGGGCCAGGAGGGGGTTCCAGAAGCTCGCACTTGTGGCCGGCAGCGTGTGGTAGCGTGTGGCAGCGCCGGCACTTTGCAGGACCAGTCCTTGTTGAAAGCATCTGTGGTGGATTATCGCCACTCGATGCCTGCTTGGCCCGACGTCGCTGCTCACATCCCTTTGGCCTACGTGGAAGGTGCCTGGCTCTCATGACAACAACCTGCATTTCCCAAGTCCTCTGTCCTCTCCTTAAGCACGACTTTTCTGCTTCTTCGATGCTGGGGCCACTTTTGGCCCGTCTTTGGCCTGGTTGGACAGGTTTGGCCGCGGGCCTCGCGCGATGCCTTCGCAGCGAGGGCAGCGCGAAATGGCGCGGCCTGGCTTCGATCAAGGGAAGGTCGGGAGATGAGGGGAAGGTGCTGCGTCGAAGTTGTCGCAATGAAAACGCCTTGTGTGAGCGGCCTTGCCAGTTTTCTTTGCCTCCTGAAAGCCACCTTGCAAGGCTCAAGGGCAGGACTATAGTCACCAGTCGCCTGCTACAATCGACTTTTGAGAGTCCGGATGGCGGTCGCAGAAAAGATGGATTTGGCGGATGCGAAGGAAGTGCAGGACGGCCAGGTCGCAGAGGGCGGCCAGGCAGGGAAGGCTGAGGTGGACCTGGAGATGTCGCAAAGCGATGTCACAGAGGATTTGGAGAAGCCTTCGGAGGAGCAGCCACCAGTCCGGCTTATGCTGCTTGTCATGCTCAGCATGTTCCAGGGCTATGCCTCAATGGTGGGCCCTCTCCAATCGGCCTACAAGCACCGGCTAGGCATCAGCACCGACGGCACTGCAGCGGCACATGCCTTCACACAAGCGGCCGTGGCAGTCCACTATGGAAAGCTGATTGCTCGCTTGGGGCACAACGTCGTCTTCGCGCGCCTCAGCCCCTGGACCCGAGTGGTCATCGCCATGTGCTTCATGTTCCTGGGAATTTCAATCCCGACCTTGCTGGTTTTCACACTGGGCTGGAGCTGGGTAGGGTCGGTTTTCATCGCCTACATGCTTTCGGGCCTGGGTCTTGGGATTTTCGAAGTGACCTTCCTGAGCGTCATCACACCCATGGGGAGGGCCACGAAGGCCTGGGCCATTGTGGGAGCTCCTGCAGGCTTCGCAACCATCAACATCCTGGGCCTCACAGCTTCCTCCTTCGGCTTGGAGATGGTGTACATCTACTGGTACATCCTCTTCTGCCTTCCCCTCGGGCTCTTCTTGTTCACGCGCTTGGCCCCCAAAGGCAACACGGAGCTGAAGACGGCCAACTTCGCGGCCTCGCTGCTCCAAGCCCGGCACTGGATGCCGGGAATGATACCCTTCTTCGTGGCACAGTTCTTGAGTCACTTCGCAATGGAGAACTGGCCGGCCATCTTCTACATGTTCCATCCTCCCTATGTGCCCCTCTTCAACCCCAAGAGTGATCAACACCTCATGAAGTGGGGCCAGTTCTTTGCTATTACCTATGTCTTCATCTTCCTCGGGGACTCCATCAGCCGCCGCATTTCGATCTACCTTTCCACGCCCAGCCTGTACCGACGTTTGGTCTTTCTCGGCATGGCCATGGCGTGCATTGCTCTCGGACTGTATCTGGAATCGCTTGCGATTGCCATCATCATCCCGATTGCTATCTTCCTGGTCTTCTGGGGGAACGGCACGATTTACGGCTTGACGGCCAACCATGTTGACAAGCACGTGCCGAGCGAACACAATCTGGCATCCTACTCTTTCTGGTGCTTTGTCGGAGATCTCGGTGCAGTTCTTGGGGGCCTGGGCCCCAGACATTCGGAGCACACATGCCGTGCCGTGCCATGCTGACATCCGGAATCCAAAGTCTAACGCCGCTGCGAGTCTGTTTTGAGCTCTCTTTTATCTGTTTATATATCTATCTATCTATCTATCTATCTATATCTATGTGTATCTATACGTATCTCTATCTATCCATCTCCATATATATATATACACACATACATACGTACACATATTTTCGCTATTTCAGCTCGGACGACGGCTCGCAGCATTTGAACGCTAGAATGTCCAGCGCGTTCACGGTGAGTCCCGCAAACCCTAGGAGATGCCATGTGAGGCAGAGCGAATCGTGAATCAGAGCGCAAGGGGCTGGTATGAACGCATGCATGTGTGCCTGCGCGCATGTATGTGCCTGTACACATACCTGCATGTATGCAACGTTATGCGCTGTGCGCACGGTCACCTGTATACTGTGTGCATGCCACGACGCGAATTCACATTCAGGCATCAGTATAGATCATCGGTGCTGTTCTTGGAGGTATTTTGGTGGACAGCACGCACGACCTCTTCTGCAGAGGTCATGAGGGACCCTTCGAATGCTAAGTCTGCGTCCTTCTGGACAACCACATGCGCTTGACGCGAATTCCTGGCTGTTTTCCAATTCGATTTTGACTCTGCTTGTCTCACTTCTGCGTTGCAGGCAGAGTTGCAAATGCCTGGCTCCGATACAAGTCGGAGTCTGGATGCCAGCAGTGGCGAATTCAGTGAGAAGCCGCGGCGATCAACGGATTGCCGCTAAGGCTTTTCCTTTAATTTCCTTTCCAAGAGTGGAGGGATGTATAGATGTTAACTGATGTTCACACTGGGGTCCCCGACTCGGTGCCGGTTCGCAGGGAACCCAACTCGTTGTAGTTTCTGTGCACGGGAGAATCTGGGGACTTCGGAAACTGACAGCCCAGCTTGCGAGCGAAGCGGCAGAGCTTTTCGCCACCCCCTGAGAAAGGATTTTGTGTCATTGAGCGTGGAATCACAGACTCAGCTCGGAGACGAAGGGATGCAGCCACCAAGGCCACCTTCCCGCACTTGCCGCGCTGCGCCGGCTGATGCAAGGGGAGCGCGAGCCTGCAGCAACTGCCACCAGGACAGCAAGCAAGACTTGCGGGTCTTCTGGGTGTCAGAGACCTCACTGGATCTGCGCAGGTAACAATTAACCGCCGGCATGGATGCGCAGGAACAGCGGCAACAAGAAGCAGGAAGTTGCATAGTGGGAATAGAGCCAAGGGGAGCCAGCTAGCCTCACGACCTTCGCTCGCACTGGTGTCCCGAGTACGTCTTTAGCATCCGAAGCCAATGTTGTGCAAGACATGTAGGGGCAGCTAAACCTGTGCAGCACCTGCGGCTTGGTGACTTTAAGAGTCACATAACCCATTGAACAGGAATGCTCGCACAAAGAACGCCTTCACACCCAACCCGGCTAGAAATGAAGACACGCACCCAAAAGCCAAACTCTTGGAGCAACGAGGCCAAGCTTCCAAGCTTCCCCGACAAGGTGGTGTCCATCGATTGCTTGGACAAGGGGATATAGGTATATCAATAGACATCGCGGAAGGCGGTAGCTGGTAGACAGAGTCCAGGTGTTCCTTCGAAGGGTGTACAGGAGCGACTCTTAGTGGCGATAAGCTTTTCGAGCTTGAGTCAGAGGATGCAATCAACATGATACTCCCAGCGAATTCATCTATGAACATCTACGACGATCATGTGCTGCAGGTGCCGTTCTAACCGAGACATGACATAGCGCTTGGGAGGCTCGCGAAGTTCTCAGCACTGAGCTGCGGATGCTGTGCTCTGAGAGGACAGTTTTCTTTTGAGTGCATCGCTGGTTTAGGCCGCTGTAGACCGGTTGTTGGTATTCGTAGCGGCCGGTGGCAAATAATTGCAAGATCCGTAAGTTGCGCGGAGAGTAAAGCACACTGGCTGGTACTCTGAGCAATCACGAGCCCACGAAAGATGCTGGGAATCTCCGCAGACAGGACCTGAGAGAACCTCTGCGAAGCTGCGCGCATCATGCAAGGTTTTTGCATCGTTTCGTATTCTCTTAATGCTCCGGTCTGCCTCGCGATCCTCGAGTTCACCAGTCTGCCGGCTCATAGTGCCGGAAGAGGTACGAACGACCCTCCTTGTTCTTCGGGGTATTTACGACTTTATGAGCTTGTTAAGCCACCTTAACCCTTGAGGAGTTTGCGTCAGCTTCAGCAAGCAAAGCCACTCGAGGATGGCACGGCAGAGACAAACCCACACAGCCCGTTGCGCTGGCCGGGTCAGAAGACAACTCCTTGAGACAGAGCAGAGTTTCACCACCTGCTGTTGCTGCAAAGTACAGGCAGCCGAAAAGCGAGCGCTCACACACTTGCAGGAACGGGCTGGTGTTCTTGTCCACTGTTTTTCGCCTATGTGACCCTGAGTAGTGCAAGGGGCAGCATGCAGTTCTTCTGCTGGTGCCTCGTCCAGGGCTGGAGAGCGGACCTGAACCACTGAGGCTCCAGCAGCAGTGTCCTCGAAGCCGAGGAGGTGCGCAGCAGTTCAAGGCACCGCGCCCGTGGAGCTTCAAACTTCCTGCGAACTGGAGCCCTTCTCGGTTGAGTTGTTAGATGTCGTCATGTTTGCACTTTCTGTTGCTGCGTTCACCAGAGAAGGCCTTTTGAGTCCCGGGGTTTCTGCCAGGAGCCGGAGCCCGAGGAAAGTGGGCGAACACGCCGGCGCTAAGGGCAAGACAACATCGCCGGCCATCGAGCAGGCGTGCTGTAGAAAGGGATTTGACCAGCTTCCACTCGAGTAGCATGTGGCACTCGTATGTAGGGACTTAGAACTCGCAGATTGGGTGCCAGGGGCCATACTTGTTCTAAAGGTTTTTGTTGTCTTCAGGCTCTGATGATCCCGAGCTCCTTTGCATTCATGTAAACTTGGCACCGCAGGCCAAGCTCGAGGCCTTGGAAAAGCTCAGAAAGCTCCAGGCAGCGAACTTTTGGGCCTCGGGAGTGTCAGCTTGCGTGGACTTCTCGGCTTCCAGCTTTTTGGGATCCATGGATCCTGGTGACCTAAATGACACAAGCCCGTGAAGCAAAGCTGCACTGCGCCGCAGTCCGTCGAGCCCAAAGAAGCGAGAGCGAAGGAGTGGAGAGCGCTGCTCCACAACTGCAGCCCAGGGGTTCTCGTTGGCTTGTGAATTGCGCAGGCTCAGGGGTAAAGACTGCTAGCGAGCTTTTATGGCGGGGGAGATCAGAGCCTTCTGCATGCAGGTCTTAGGGTTTGGGCTTTGTGGGACCTCTACGTACACCGTCGCGCGGATGCTGCAGGTTGTTGCTTCGAAAGCCCTCTAGAAAGCTGAGCATCGCAAGCAGATTCCGTCTCCTGAGGTTGAGAGATTGGCATCCGGACAAGAATCCGGACAACATCGAGGCTGTGGTTTTCCTGAGATCTTCACAGATACAGTTTGATGCAGGTAGCAGGCTGGAACTGTTAGCCTACTGTGCCACGCAGCGCTTGTTGGATTGTCTCTGTCCGACGAAGACTGATGTGCAGGTGGCCAAGGAGGTGTTTCAGTTCCTCCAGAAGGGCAAGACCATTATCAACGTGTAGTGAGCCCTTATGGGAGGTCCCCTCAAGCTCTCTAGCGAGCATGGCTCGGTGGCCCCTTAGAAGAGGGTCAGGTTCCTGCTGTTTGGGGCCCTCCTCGGCGTTCCATGTGTCTCGCGGTGGAAGCTGTTCGGTGACCTCTTGGAGGGTTCTTGACGTGACGAAAGCGCAGATCTTGCATGGTCTTGTGGGCCACGCTAGAAAGCGCATGTCTTCTGCTGGCGTTCCTGAATTGGTAGTATTGCAGCCTTTGGCCTTTCAGAAAGCGGTTCCACCGCGAGAGCCATGTAGCGAGGCCGTCGTCTCTTTGGCCGTGAAGTTCATGAAGTTGTGTGCAAGAAACTTTCCTCAGCTTGCCTTTATGATGGCGAAGCCTCCCAATACGAGTGCCCTTCAGCATTTACAACTTGTGGCAAGGATCGTCCTCTCTTTAGTGGCAGTTGTGGTTCGCTTGCATGCGATTTCACTGCCAGCGTCTAAGGGCGGCCAGTCGTCGCTTTCGACCAGTGATGTGTTCCGAGACTACATAGCTAGCAATCTAATATAATCCAATGTATGATTTGAGCCTTGGAGAGACGTGGCCGGCACCTGATGTCAATCCGCCGTCTGCTCTCACCCCTGCGAGCTACTCATACCCTAACGTATCTAGGAAAGCATGGCGCACAAGGAGATCCGAACTCGTGAACTGCTAGCCGCTAGCCACTAGCCGTGAGCCTGAATAGACTTCAAGGTAGTGCATGGTAAACGCCTCATGTTTCCCAAAAAGTATAGCCAAACGTCGTTGCTGCTGAGCGCCTCGTGCCGAGTGATCTGTCCCGTCATGGAAACAAGCGTGCAGTGCATGGGTCTCGAGCTGACTTCCCCAGCCTCCAAAGACCGTCTCTCAGGTTCTGGAGTTGCATTGCCTAAGCGAGAGAGAGAGAGAGAGAGAGAGAGAGAGAGGGAAAGAGAGAGTAGCCATTTTGGCTCAAGTACTACACCTGTGCTTGGGGGCCTGTGCCGCCCTCTTGTGCAGGGGGGGGACGGGGGGTTACCTCGAGGTTGTGCCCTCGGGGAGCCTTCCCGTTCAACCCTGTGGTGCTTGAGCTCCACGCCTGTCGCTACTTTGCTCAAGTGGCCCCTTTTCCTTTCGCGCCTCTCCAGAACCTGAACGAGGCCCCTCTTCGGGGGGTGGCCCTCTAGTAGGGGGACGGAGCATACTATCTCACTGTGGAACCCTTGGTGATCGTCCTGGCTTCGTGGGGGAGATCTATGGCGAGTTCCAGCAGCCTCAGTGGAGGCACAAAAGGAGGGGAGAGCAGACCCCTCGACGCAAAACCTCCCAAAATCAAGACTACGTGGGAGGAACAGCTAAAGCTGGCTGAGAGACTTCGCGAGATCGGGGTGACGTGCAAAACATGCCTGCAGGGACCATGGTGCCACAAGCCACATGACGGGGGAGACGGATGCTACAAACACATGATCTCCTCAGGCAGAGTTAGCAGTCCCTTGAGTGTTGCGGAGTTGCGAAAAAGGGGGGAAGCTGCAACAGCACAAACCTCTGAGCCGGTGGCCGCGGGGGACTACAGCATTGATAAGTCTTCCAAGAGGCCGTTGTCCGAGTACGTTCGGTTTGAGACAAAGGAGGGGATGGCGCTTCTTTTCCACCCAAGCCCGCTGGATAAATGGGTTGGAAAACATTACAGATGGGACGGCACCAACAAGACCTACGTCGACCCCACAACTGGGGGGACCCTGACTTCAGAGGAAAGTGAGGACTACCGCCGCTACCTTCAGCGACACAAAGAGCGCAAGCAGACGGGGGACCAGGCCGACAAACTGGTCAAGCTGGTTGGCAAGTGCAACCCAGCTGTGGAAGAGGAGCTCCGCGTCTACATAGGACGTTTTCCGGGGGAAGTCCGCAGCCTCCTTGCCAGCGGAAAACAGGTCTACAAACAGCTCCTGGCGAACCAGCGGCACGGGGGGACAGAGAAAACCCGGACTGCCGAGCTGCGCCAGGGGCGAAGCAAGACCGAGAAAGTCAAGAAGGCACACAGGAGCAAGAAGCTCAAGAAGAAGCAGAAAAAGGCGGGGAAGAAGCAAGACAAAAAGAACAAGAAGTCAGCAGAAGACAGCCAGGCGGGGGACCCCGGAGACAGCCAGAAACCTGGGGACATGCGATATGCCACGACGAACCCGAGCCCTCATGCAGCAATGGGGGAGGACCGTGAGATCCAAGAGACTACGGAAGCGCAGCACCAACCTGCAGTGAGCTCACCCCCCGACGAGGTTGATTGGGGGCATGAGGAAGACGATGCCGACTCACACCACACTGCAGCCGCTGACCTTGGGGGGAGCGACAGCGATACAGAGTCTGCTCCCACCGCGGCGTTGGGGGCGCCAACTGACCTGAACTGGCCGTGGGGGGAGCGTTGACGTCCTGCAGACAGGGCATCTTCGAGCGGGGGAGGAACACTCCGACCTCGCACACCAAGCCGAAGCCCTCGTCGAAAGAATGTCGTGTTGCAGCCTGGGCCCATGTGGCAAGCAGTTCAGCAAGTGCAGCGGCACATGAAGCGCAGTCGGGGGAGCAGCTGATGCGTGAGGATGCAGAGCAAAAGTGAATGACTGAGGCAAATTCGAGGGGAGAGATAACATGTCTGTCTCATGCAACGTGATTTCATTCTGCAGCCGGGGGTTCATGTGACTTGCTTTGCTGTACTTGCTTTGCTTGTTGTTGGCACGGGGGGGAGAAGTGATACACGAACCCTTAGGCAGCCACTGTTCTGTACCATGGGGACACCATGTTCTGTACATGTCGTTCAACCCACTCATGCGGTACCTGCACTGTGCGAACTCTTTAAGCAGGGCCGGGGAACCCCCTAGCCCTTTCTCAGGCAAACCCGATCCATCTATGGGGTCCGAACTGACCCACAATCCTAGTTTCTTTTCAAGCACGTGTGCGGTACTTCTCACTTGAATTCGGGGTGTGAAGGTCTTTTCGCTCAGCTCCATGTACATCCAGAGGGGGAAACCCAGCAAGCTTTTCCTTCAGCCCTTTCAACCCGGAGCAAGGGAGGGGACACTGCAGCCCCATATTTCTGCCGGAACTTTAGCCTGACTTGCTTGTTGTTTTACTTGAGGGCATCGTCCCTATCCCCTCATGCTCCGGGGGGACTTTTTCTCTCTTGTCCAGCCGAGCCCTCCCTGATCTAAGTTGGGGAAGGGGACAAACAAAACCCGTGAACCGCGGGTGCGCGTTCGCGCGCGGAGGATTCAGCTGGACCGCTGTTTCCTCCTGCCCCTGGAGAGAGAGAGAGAGAGAGGGAAAGGGAGAGACTTGAACCCCAAGCAAAGCAAAGGAGAGAGAGAGAGAGAGAGAGAGAGAGAGAGAGAGAGGGAGTGGCTCAAGTACTGCAACCTATGCTTGGGGGGGCTGTCACCCCCTCCTCGCACAGGCGGCGGGGAGGCGCAGAGTTGGCCTGGGGGGTGTCTCCCCTCGGGAGAGCTGCTGCCGCTTCCCTCCAGCAGTGCTTGAGTCCTACGCTGTAGCTGTTTCCATCAAGTGGCCCCGACTCTTAGGAACGCCTGTCGCCGCCATGGCTCGAGACAAAGCACAACAAGGGGGAGATCGTGACACTACTCCGACGGCACCGCGAACAATAAGATCGGGGGAAAAAGCTCCAGGAGGACGGGGGAAATCCCCAGAAATTTGCCGGAAATGTCTGGCCCTTGGATATGGGCACACAGGGCACCTGACTACT